CATACAGAATGGCAACTCTTTTTAAATCAATTTATCTTCACTTTATCACCTCCAACCATCTTCTTTTTGGTATTTCTTCCGAAGCAGTGCTTCACTTGTTTTATGAATTTTCCACAAAGAGCGCATATGTAATATTAATGTCCAAACTGTTTATCGTTGATTAGCAATGATCCAGCAGTTAATATTTAATTGAGCTTTAACAAGTGCAACGAAACCCGTAAAAAATGTTGTGCCTATGTATCTTGGACATTGCAGTTCTGTTAATAGCTGCACTTAATTACCTACAATATCAATTTTTAAAAACTTGTTACTCCACCCCGTTATGCTCCACCTATTGGAAAGCTGTGGAAAATCTAAAATATTTTTGCTTTCAGTTTTCTATGCAGTGACCATTACAGGTGGCATAATAACATTTTGTTTCATTGTTTTGTTAAAATGTAAAACACTCCTCCATAATGTTAACGGAGCCTTTGTATGTTAAATGGAATAATTTAGTTAATTAATAAACTTTTTACATCATAAATTTGGAATAAACAATATTAGATATTCCCCTTTAACGAGAATTGTGTAGTTAAAGTCAATATAGAACTAGGACACATAAAAGGTACTTAAGACAATAATGATGACATTAAGAATTTTCATCTTATCATAAACATGATGTTAGATGGCGTTAATAACAATATACTTTATATTATCCTAACCATTTAAACTAAAGAAATTAGAAACTCACGTTTCGCGATAAAGAAGAACTCTCAAATCGTAAATAGAAGTCACTAAAGATCAAGCGATTAATTAGGTGTAGAAAACTTCAAATATTATTGAATTTATTTACATACTTTGCTAGATTTAATATAATCACATTTTGCATTTTAAAACATAGCACAGAAGTGAATATTATTACTTATATTGTAAAAGCAGTCCCCTCAAAAATGGATCAACGGCCCATTGTGACAGCATTGACAAACTTTCTTCACCATCTTATCATCCCTTAGTAAAACTCTAACCACATTCCAGTAGAAACCTTAACCATAATGATTTCTAGCTTAAGGACGCTTTTAGAATCTTTTAATATCAATTGTACCTATTTAATTATTCTGCTAATTATTCAAAGTAGAAATCTCCCAAAAGGCTGATTTCTTATCTGAAAAGAGTCAAACAAGAAGTTACCATGCACTCGCTTTAAAACAGCTTCTAAAAATATTCCTACTGAAGGTTTCTAATATAAGTGTGTATATCTTTTACGCAATATCTTAACAGATATGAAGAAGTAATCACTATTGGCTATGTAACATTTGGTTTCCCAAAAAAATAAAACAATTACCACGCGTTTGCATAATTCAGGCAGACAGGTTCAATTAGTGATGCTTACATAGTTCTTTATACGAAAATTGGATAACATTGATGAGTAAAACAAGTGGTCTCAACAAGACATTAGTGCAAGTCTTACACCTCGTAAAACAGTTCAATCGTTATCTGAGACATTTCCTGACCATATAATAAGATCATATGACCTTATATCTTTACCACGTTTCGGTAATAGAAATTGGTTACTTTGATTGTGTAATTTAACACCATTTGATGTTTTTTCATTGGATCCTTTGAAATCAAATGTCTGAGTCAACAAACGGACTAGCATCTGAGCATTGAGGGAAGAAATTCAATGCTGCATCACTGCAACACAGCCACATTTATACAAAATTTCGACAAAAAGAACTGCGTATGTGGCAGGACGGTCGTCGAGACCATTTGCCCTGTGTGTTGTTCCATATATAATCCTTTCCTGATACTTTATAATTCAATACAAACTGCTTTGGTTAGTATCACTAATTAAATAAAAAAAAAGTGATAAAAACCAGGATCTTGAGCATTGAAAGTTTGTGCAGCCTTGGCTACTTATGGATAAACACGACTAGTCATCGCTTCTAATTTGATAAGCACTAGTTCTAAGCCTGGCAGTGGCAGTCCAAACAAATTATATATAATATGAACTATAAACTAATTAAAATATTTGATTATATCCTAAGACCACTGATGATGAGTTCTTGGCAATAACGTTGTTTGGTTAGCCAAATTTCAATAAATTAAAATAAATTTTTGTCCTTGTCTTTACTTTGCTCTTTGAATTCGTCTAACTTTTAAATAGTTTCTTTTCGTCATAAAGACGCCTCACTCTCGGAAGAAAAAATTAACATTAAAAAAACAATTTTTTTATTTAATTTTAATCTTGCATTAGGTTTTGGAGTAACTTTAAAGTACTAGTATCGAACGAAAAAAATTAGTATTAGATGTCGAGGGTAGCGAGGTATCACTAAAAGTGGCAAACTTTTCAAAAATATTTCAATGACTAAAAAATTAAGTAGTCGTAAAATGTGGAATTTCAGCAAATAATATTTTTATCTTTTGTAAACTTTTAGAATGTAACTTATTTAATTTTTTGCTAATTAATTTGTATCTATGCAATGACATGCTTTATTTTAAATCAAATTAATTACGGAATTTAAAGGTCTCGAAAATAGTTAATGGCACCCCCTGCTGTTATATAAATATTATGAAATCATAGTATGAATCAATTTTGTTAATGTCCGTGCATATTAGGAATTTGTGTGAAATTTAATTATTTCGATGCTCAAACACGTGCCGCTGATATTGAGATACACACACTCAGCATTCTCAAGAAATTTTGATTTGATATCCATAGGTTAAATGAAGTTAATGCATACTGAGTAATTCTATACATCTTCATTTACGTTGAAACCACAAAAGAAAATAAACATTTTATGGGAGAAAGTTAGCCCAGAACGAGGTTAAATTAAAGTGATCATTAACTAATGAAATCCATTAACTACTTACTCACTGTTAGATCAGATAGATACACGCAGATCGGTTTGTGAGCAAGTATGTAGTATAGTAAGTGTGCATGCTAATGTCTGCCGTTCCATGTGAGAAGAAAAAACACTTAAAACATTAAATAAAAATAAACAAAAATGTATTTTATAGATTAAGGTAAACGAATTAAAAGAAAACATAAAATAAACAATGTAAGCAGTCAATTGCCAACTACTAACTGCCAAACAATTCAAGACATCGAATATGAACGATTGCAGCTTTGCTCAGATATTAGATACTTTGATCTCAGCTCTTTTGGTGCTAATTAGAATAAATAAACAAACATGACACGCCAATCACTGCAACAGCTTTAGACCAACTTTGCAGCTTTAGCCGTGACTATTGAACGCTCTGACGTGCTGTCGAAGATATTGGCCTCGTCTGTGGTGCAATATTTGAAAAATGCGAGGCCAGTCAGCACCGGCACGCAAGCACTTCATGGTGTGGCAGTGTGGCATGTATGGGTTACGCAGTTGCAACGCATTTCATTAATCTCTCCACATTTCACTCAAATCATTTTCTGCTGCACTTTTGACAGACGCAATTCCCATGCGTTCATCAACAATTTTAATTTGAAAAATTAAAAAATATCTTTACTGAGTACTGAATTACGTTTCCTTTTGTTGTTGTTTTGTTGTTGTGTTCGTATTCATTGCAGATTTTTCTTGCACATTTAATTAGTTTAAGTCTTGCTCGATTTGGTATTAAATTCGCTACATTGTCTCTCTTGTGCATTTGAAATGAAACAACTTTCTTTTGTACGAGCTACGAATACGTATCTATTATTTGATTATTTGTTAGGAAATAGTGTCTCCTTTCAATTTTAATAAATACAATAATTCATTACCTCGTTACGAGTACCTCTTACTGGTTTGATTCACTGAAATGCATACGAAATTGTGCAAATCATATGAAAGTTGATGTGTATTTAAACGTATGCATAATTCAAATATTAATTAAATTTCCAAATAGTTTTCATAATTAATAATAAATAATAATTTTTAAACACAGGTATGTTAGCCGTAGTGTCAAAGTTCAAAACAATACTTACGTATCGTATAATAAATTTGACAGCCAAAAATCGATTAAGCGTAATTCAGCAGCAATTTTTCCCAGTATCTTTGCGAGTACGAAAGGCAGTTGATTGGTTTAATTTATTGCTTTAGATAACTATACAAAATAGCTATACACACTACGGATTGCAGCTAAATTTAGCATTATTGATTTTATCCTCATCCTCATCTTAAAGACAAGTAATAGATTTTGATATAGAGTGTACTTTCCAATTTAATTGAATAACGTAAAGATTTATTTTGAAAAGAATTACAACATGTACATTCTGACAAGAAAGTATCAGGAATAATGAAACCCTCATAAAGAGATCGATATTATTTTTGTCATTCAGTTGGCAATACAATTCTTTTTGCTCACTTGAAATTAGAGGTTTGTTAAAAGTGAGAAATTTTGTCAATTCATCTCTAATGTGTTATGCGATTAAATAACATAAAGAAGACCAAAAGATTCTACCTGATATCACTTGAATTTGCTGGCTTTTTTCAACACAGATGTCTCTAGATTTTGTGAAACATACACCAAAAACTCAGATCATAACCTTTATGTGTGTCAAACTTATGGCTTTAATATATCTCTCTATGGCATTCCAAACTGTAATTCATCACAATTTTAAACGTGTTGGGTTTTTAAGCTTACGCACAATAAATCTATTCTGGTCTCATTCCTTTTGACCCAAAAAAAAAAAATAAATATATGCACCGCATATATGTGTTCTGCACTTACTAGTGCTGTACGCAGCTATTAACTTCTGGCAAAAACAACCCGGTTGGCATCGTTGCGGTTAAAGTAGTAGTGCCAAGATTGATGAAACCTATAACATACTCGGAAGCAAGCACCAAGAATTCACTGCTTTTTCAAGAGGCTCACATAGGTGTCTGCCACCCGACATACACTATATTATTTTATGTGATTTGCTAATATTTAAAAACTAACTTCAAATTATGGTACTATGTATTTTATAATTAATCTTAATATTTATGATTAATTATATGAAACACTGTATTAATAAATATTAAAAATAATTGAATAAATCGAAGAAATATGGTTAATTGTAATTTATTGTAATGAAATTGGTTGGCAAAAAATGTATGATGTTTGTTGTAATTCAGATTCTATCAAAAATATTCGCATTTCTAGCATATAATAGTTAATTAGAAATCTAGCCATCTGCTGGCCCCTCGTCCTTCTTCAGAAAAGTTTCTTCATATTCGATTCCTTTGACGCGTGGACAAATTTTTGGAAAGTCAGGGGGACAAGAGCAGCAACAACTTGGATCCTTGGCTTGTTTATTATCACTACCCCAACACGGTACGCACCCATTTGGCGGAGCGTGGAAAACGACATCAGCAATTGGAGGTTTTCTAGGTGGTTTACCCATACACTGGTTTATATACTGATCTTTACCCATTTCAAACGGACAGTTACAACTAGCACAACTATTTTGTTGAGCACCGCAATTGCCACCACCATATGAACCACCATTACTTGAACATGGTCCTGCATCATAATCACCTCCGTCATCTCCATCGTCAAAGTAATCATCTTCGGCTTCTGAGTCGTCAAAGGAATCACCATTTGATTGCTGAGACTCTTGAAATTGTCGGACAAGCTCTGAAGTAAATTTACTGATTATATTCGAAATAAGATCTTCATTATTATCGCAACCACCTGGTAATCTCCAAGATTTTTCGTATCTCGAACTAGAATCACGTCCATGGTCCGACTTCTGTCTCTTTTTTGAAAGTTCTTTCTTTCGCAAAACAACCAGTTTTTTCTCTAACTCGTGGACGGGGCCTCGAAATAAATCTGTTGGAGTAACACCCAATTTTTGACACCAAAATTGTGTGTCCCGTTCTATTATTTCGGATAAATCTGCATCATTGATGGACTGACAAACTCCAAAGTTCGCCATTGTCGTTTGTTGATGCGATAAAGATAGAATGAGAACTACTTTGCCAAAAATACTTACATTATATATCTTACCAAACGGACTGAAATTTTGAAACAATAACTATTGAATAAAAATTTTTATCATACAATTTTAACATTTTAACAATTTTATATCAACAAAATTGAAAATGGGTTGCTATGATAAGTTCTCATTAAAGCACACAACAATAACATGATTGATTTAAATGTTATAGCTTTAACATATATATTGACAAGCAGATATATTGTTAGTAAAGTATATAACAAACCTTCAGTCCACCTCAGGACACACAGGAAGATATGCTGATCTACGGTCCGTCATCAGTTAGAAGATAAATAATAATATTTATAAGCCCACTAGCCACATTATAGTAAAAATGGGCAATAGCACTAACTCAAATCACAACAACAACAAAAGGATAATATATATGTAGTTATCTGCGACATTATAACCTGTAGTTTACAATTTTTACACTAATTGTATCAATATAAGAATATTCTTCGAAAACGTCTTTGTTTAAACACAAATTAAAACAAAAATATGTAGAAGTACAATTAAATTCATTTTTATTTAAATTTAATGAAAGAAACTAATTCTTAATTAGAAAAATTTAAGATAATAAAAATAAAGTACGGAGTTTCGTCAGTGCACTAAACCGTGATTTTGCGCTTCAAGCTTGTCAGGGTGCAAGTTCACCTCCTGGTACTTGCAGTCTAAAATCTAATTTATAAATAATTCAATCTGAGAAATTTCACCAACGACCACTTTTATTAGACGTTACCTAAAATTTAAGCATTTGTCGTCAATACGTAACGACATCCAGCGATCGATTTCAGAAAAAACTCAAACGGTATATTCTATATATTGTATTATACATAAATACTCGTACTTGTTTTTCCGGGATGCGAAATTGATATGAAGCTCCCGGCAGTTATGGTCGCAGCGCTCTGTCATATTTCAAATTTTTTACTGATTAAACAAATACTTTTATTATGCAAAACAAAACAAATAAATAAGCAAGTATGGAAATTGTTAACTGAAAATTTATTGCCAAAAAGTTAGATTTTTGATAATTTACATTCTATTGTGTATATTCGCATAAACTCGTTTAAAGTGCTCATTATTTTGTTTCGTCTCCATCTGGCTTCAGAAAAGTTTCTTCATAATCGACTCCTTCAACCCGAGGACAAATTTTGGGAAAACCTGGTGGACAAGAGCAGCAACAACTTGGATTTTTGGGTTTACTATTATCACTACCCCAACACGGTACGCAACCATCTGGTGGAGGACGAAAAACAACATCACCAATCGGAGGCTTTCCACTTGGTCTGCCCAAACAGTGTTGTATATATTGCTGTGCTGGCACTGACAATGGTCTGTCACAATTAATTGAAGATCCACTGCCACTACATTGTCTGTTTTGACGAAATTGTTGAAACGACCTCATTGAGGCATTGCTGCCACGTCCTCCAGGCGTAGTATCACAAAAAGGTCTAGTTGACGGGCGTGAACTTTGTGGAGTTCCACAAAATTGTGGAGTTGAAGTATTTTGCATTGGAGTACGATAGAATGAAGGTGGCGAAGTATTATCAAGTGCATCACATGGAGAACGTACTAATTCAGGTGGAGAAGTGTTTGCAATGCTGTCATATGGAGAACTCATACCTGGTAAATTTCCAAAATTGGGTGTCCTACCGCCGCCACATTTACTCGAACTTGATGAGGCATTAAAAGTTGCATTTCCTCCACAAGGAGAACAACTTCCTGAACGTGAAGATGCGTTAAAAGTTGCATTTCCACCACACTGTGAACCACTACCTGAACGTGGTGACGCATTAAAAGTTGCATTTCCAGCACACGGTGAACCACTACCTGAACGTGGTGACGCATTAAAAGTTGCATTACCTCCACATGGAGAACCGCAGCCTGAACGTGGTGACGTATTAAAAGTTCTGTTACCTCCACCTGCTGAACTGTTACTTGAACATGAAGAGGCACTGAAAGTTGCATTCCCTCCACATAAAGACTTAGTTCTATTACATGAAGATGAGGATGAAGATGAATTTGCAGAGCAATTTCCAGATGAACGTGAGGAGTTACTTCCAGGGCATTGTTTACCTCCCTGTGCCTTTTCATTCTTCCACTTTTTTAAAAAGTATTGATCAATTTCATAATCTTCTTCAGCTGAATGTTGAAAATTCGGACAATAGTCTCTGCTAGCATCATTGAAAGGATCCAATAAAGTGTCATTCATGGGATCTTGAAACTCTTCATCACCAGGTTTCGTTCTATCTCCAAATTGATATCTTCTTTGGAATCTATATTCTCCTGGCGTTGAACACATAAATGGATTTGGTCTAAATGGACTACCGCCGCCTGTAGGACTTTTAACTTCAGGCACGTAGTCTGTTTCAACATTAGCCCATGACATTTTTAAATCATTATTGCTTGTATAAAATATATCATCAACATAGGGATCGTAACCAGGTATAGGTTGACAACCAGGAGGACATGGCACTTGTGGAGGTTGATATTGAAAAAGCGGTGTTCTGTGCGGCGAACGAGGAGGTGGTCCTGCATTGTAAGTTGCATTTGGTCCACCTCCGCCTGGTCCTACATCAAATGTTGCATTTGGTCCACATCCTCCAGGTCCTATATCAAATGTTGCATTTGGTCCACAACCACCTGGTCCTGCATCGAATGTTGCATTTCCTCCACATCCACCTGGTCCTGCATCAAATGTTGCATTTGCTCCACAACCACCTGGTCCTGCATCATATGTTGCATTTAGTCCGCATCCACCTGGTCCTGCATCATATGTTGCATTTAGTCCGCATCCACCTGGTCCTGCATCAAATGTTGCATTTCCTCCACATCCTCCTGGTCCTGCATCAAATGTTGCATTTCCTCCACATCCACCTGGTCCTGCATCAAATGTTGCATTTCCTCCACATCCACCTGGTCCTGCATCATATGTTGCATTTAGTCCACATCCACCTGGACTTGCATTGAATGTTGCATTCCCTCCGCATCCACCTGGACTTGCATTGAATGTTGCATTCCCTCCGCATCCACCTGGACTTGCATTAAATGTTGCATTTCCTCCGCATGCCCCTGGTCCTGCATCGAATGTTGCATTTCCTCCACATGCCCCTGGTCCTGCATCAAAAGTTGCATTTGGTCCACATGCGCCTGCTCCTGCGTTAAATGTTGAGTTTAATATAGAACCACCTCCGTAAAAGTCTTCTTCTATGTCTGAAGTTTCGGAGCAATCTTCGTCAAAATCCATGTCAGATGATCTTTCTAGTGCCGATTGTAGTTTACTTACATTAAATGTCTGTGAGATTTCTCCAGCGAATCTTCTAAGAATGCGCAATAAAGATTCGTCGTCGTTATCGCATCCACCTGTAACTCTGCAAAATTCTGAGTTTAAGGTTTTTTCGCACACCAATCGGTCACCATAAATGTAATCTGCTGTCTGTATATCATCTAAAAGTTCCCTCTGTCGCAAAACAATGAATATCTTCTGTAATTCATGTTCAGAGGCTTCAAATAATTCCGATTGAGTAATACCCAACTTTTGACACCAAAATAGAGTTTCCTGTTTTATAAATTCGAATAAGTCTTCATCATCGTAGTAATGATATCGTTGTAAATTTGCGGACGATTTTGACATCGATTGGTGTATTCTTTTTTGATGCGAATATAATAGAATGCAAACTATTTTGCCAAAAGTACCACAATAGTAATTTTAACCAACAGAGTTTTATGAAATTTACCTACATAGTTAAAATTTTTAATTAAAATTTTAATATGTCAAAACTATATATGTAAATTATAAAATATTGATTACTAAAATACATTTTTGTTAAATTATTTGAATTAAAGCATAGTTTACATAGTTATAACTTAATGATTATACCACTGCCAACAAAAATGGTTTATTCAATGTGGTTAGTGTAACATGTTCTAATCCTAGCAATCAAAAATATGTAGTACTATTTTTTGCAAATATATGGATAACATATTAAACTTGTTATTTTATTATGAATTTGTGAGATATAAGTCAAATCTTCATCAGTTCATCATCATTTCAATTTCACAATTATTCATTATAGGTGGTTGAAGAATAGTGCCAATATATTTGTATTTGAATATGTATAACCTTCGACAGTGACAAAATGGATAATCCGGTGACGTGAACGCAAACTACTATTAATAAGATAATAATTTCTCCACATTTACCCACATATCCCATTGAATGCGGTAAAGTATTTTGATACAGCGTTAATATGACATAGCCTTACCGTTTCTGTGAAAATAAACTTTCTTCTCTTAGATGTCAAACACTTCTGCTAAGAATAAACAAGTATGGTTGTAAGAGTAATGGAACTTTCATATATCTAGTTCCACAGAGCGAACACCAACTCTAATGCTGATATCCATTTTTGGCCTCTCTGTATATGCCACTACCTTTACTTGGATTCTTATGAACCTTGGTTCCTTCATCTCTTATTGTATGGGCGTTGCTGACAAAGTTATCATCAAAATTTAAGCGAGAACACTATAATCTGATTTACCGCTATTACAATTCTAAATATATGTTAGAACAAATCTCTGTTCATTGTAGATGACCGTCAGTTAACATACACTTTTTGTTTTATTTCTTAGAATAACTTAATGTATTTCATTTTACATATATATTCTGTATTCACTTTGACTGGTTTTTCAAAATCATTACTCTAAGTTATGTAGTAACATTTGCAAAATGATGAACTTATGCATTACTTCATAGAAACAGGGTTTAAAAATTAATCCATAAGACATGGATTGATATTGCCAAAATTTCTAACACCGAAGCATTTCAATATATTAACTTAATTTTTATAATGAGTGTCATAAGATAAAATAATCTTTAAACTGTCTGATTATCGCATTTAGTTTTCTTTATTGATTTATTAGGTTTTAGTTTTGAAAACAATTAAATTATTTAATATATTATGTTGAAGCTATTTAAGCCAGTGCACTTCATCACTTTTACTCTCTATTAACTGCGAGGTATGTTCAAAACCCCTCTCTACGCCTTGACAT